TTCTTATAATATTTTAAAAGTAGATTAGTGCTTTATGTAATAATCTCAATTAAATATTCAATAAAGATAGAGGCATGACCTCACCATTAATATTAAAAAAAAAAAAAAAACAAAAAAGAATTTATACTTTCCAAATTCAATTAATATAAAATTTAAAATTTCATGTTTATCATTTCCAGAGTTCATTATAATGAAGTACATTTTATTATAAGCTTTGATTACAATTAGATTTATATACAAATCTGTATTCATAAACTAAATTAGTGCAGATAAATAATTCGAATGAGGTTATAAATATTATAAAGTTCAAAATATATTTATAGGTTAGATAAATAAATGAACTTGTTTGTCAAAATAGCTTACTTCTTTATAGGAAACTTTTAATATAATAAAGAGTTTTGAATTGCGGATTATAAAATTTCAAGCGTATCTAGTAAAATATGTTTAGGATTTTTCTTGACATAAGTTATAATGTGGATTTTTTTCTAACCTGAAAGCTTCATGATAGTAAGTTATAAATATAAGACTACCTATATTTTTTGTTAAAATACTGTATAAAAGTTTTTGTATACAGGCAACTTCCTAGTAAAAATTCATTGTAGAAGTAATTTACTATGTTCCTATATTGACTATATAATTAGTTAAAAAAATTTTATTATAGAGTGAGCTCTTTATAAAAAAGTTCGATATAAAGAAAGTCAACTGTTTACATTGCATAGATGTGTCAAATAAAATGAGATCAGAAGGCTGAATTATCCGTGACCGTGCCCCAATTGGTGGTTAGCGATTTGGTATTTACGGTACTGTATTGTGAACTTTACTTCACATTTTATACAATCCAGTACGAAATTATCTTTATATATGTATCTTCGTACGTATCGTATCATTTCAAAATTTTATAAAATACAGTACTAAATTATCTTCAGTAAAGTACACTATATATGTATATTCAACAAAGTACTTATTATTCATTTTATATGGGTTTCTTTTTTTCTTGTTGGTTTTTATATAAATACGACATCCGTTCAGAGAGAAGTGAAACGAAGCGGCTGATCGCGATCAAGAAAGCACAGCACAACACGCGAAAGACACAAGATCGGAATTAGGATACTTGAAAGCTTTTATAACTTAATTTGGATGTCAATCTTTTCCAAAAGTTCACAACTGTGCAAATAGGATGACTTTTAGCGTTGTACAATTTTTGAAACAATGCATAAGGCTAATAAAAGATATCAATTCGAATCTCACGTGTAACTTCTGATGTAACAAGAATGTAGAATGTATGTACGTACTTGAAAATCGATCTTTGATGTCTAACATTTAGTATTTATCGCTGTTTTCAAAATCCTGTGTCCTACACAATTGACACCTAACAATGGAATCAATTGCAGAATCAATTTTCATACCCCTGCATCTCAATAATTATTATAAATTTTGGAAATGCAGAGGTATGAAAATCGATTCTGCAATCGGTTCCATAGTTAATTGTTAATCGTGTAGGGACACAGAATTTTGAAAACAGCGATAATAATTATTGTTGCGAGTCTTCCAGTAATCATTTTTGTGATTACTGTTGGAATTGTGGTATGCATTTTCTAAATGAATATTTATAGAATTCATAACGATTAATAATAATAATCCAGCCCTGTCCTGTTTATTTAAGTGTTTGCTTTGGTTATCTTGTTCTTTGGATTCTGAAAATGTTGTAACTAGAGTTAATACTTCAATCCAGATATATTTATATCCGGATTGATATTTTGTCAAAAATTATAGTAAAACATAGTAATTTAAATCCGGATTAATCTGGATATAAAACATAGTGAGGTGTTAACTCTAGTTGTAACACACTTTTCTAATATGGCAACTATTGCTGACATGGGATCTAAAGAATCTTTTCAGGTATTTTTCTAACATTATACAAAAAATAACCAGTCAAAAATATTACTCAATAATTTTCAGATTTACAAAAAAAAAAAAAATGAAAATGGGTCATCAATGAGTAGCTCAATTTCTATGCAATCCCAAATTTGATGAGGTATATAATAGTACTTAAAAAAATAAATGGTCTTTTTGTTTTTAAAGATTCGTGATAAAATTGAACAAGAACTGAAGGGACAAGATACAGGCATTGTGAAGATCAAATTTCCTGTTAAAGAACTTGGTGACCTTAACGTACGGGAAAAAATCCACAATACCTTCAATGCCGAAAGAATTGGATTTGATTTATTCATCAAAGTGAGTTTTAATGTAGCTTAAAAACATAAAAATTTTTTCAAATTTTAATAATTTTGTGTCATTTCAGTATAATAACTTAGAGAAAGAATTAATTCATAGAAAACTTGCAAATTCTCTTGAGAATCAAGGTTGACAATTTGTGTAGTTGGGAATAGAGATCTGACCTGATGTTGGTGTATGGTTTCAACGACCAACACGTTCACAAAGGCGTATGCCTATCATCTATACGTGTCCACATCCTAATATTTGGATTGAAGTAATTTATTAATTCTGTCTAAAAAAAAATAATATGGCCAGCAGTATTTTCTAGTGAATAATTAACATTCATTAAATAATTTCAGATATTCTACAACGTTAGCGGTGATTATGACTATGCTTTAAACAAAATCAATTGGCTTCAGCAGAATATGACCGGCATTGAATTTGTGGCAATAGCTCTTCCTACTGGACTAAACCCCTTTCATGCTAATCCTAATCCTGGAATTAATACAACTCATGCAACTAGTCAACCTATGTTTGTCATTGGGATTGGAATAACAACAACATCTGGTATCGAATGGATTGGAACCATTATATTACTCTTAGATGTGGTCTAGCAATAGATTTTAATGTTGTGCTGACCGAGTTGGTTTAAAGTTCAGCTTTTATTTTATACATTGCTTCTCTTGCATACGTCTTAATATATTTGATTGAAACTTTGGTAACAAAGTTAATTTATTTATGCATGAAATTTTATAATCATAATGGCGTTAAAAAAAACTTCATTAATATATTTGTTGCATAAATTAACTTTAATCAAAATCTGAGCAAATTATAATTGCCAGAAACGAATTTAAAGATTCAACTCAGGTAAATGTATCAAACAAAGCTCAAAAAGCAGATTCGGGACAATAATCTTACGAAAAAAGCCATAATCAACTCATCCAAATTTTAGTCAAGCATAATATAAAATAAATAAGTATTATAGGAGGTTCTAAAATTTTGCCTCAATTTATAGTTTAAATTTACATGATCACGTTAAAATAAAAATTGGAACCTACCAGACCACTTTATTTATTTAATAAAGAATTGTTGCCGAAACAACAATATATATATATTTTTATTCTATAATAAAAAAAATACATATAAAAGACATATGCCTCAAAGAGGCACCCTCAATAAGCCATGTTGGTGGGGTTTACATTTGATCATTGTCTTTATCACATTCTAAATTATCTTTTGACATTTTTCCCCAGGTTTGATTATCTAATTTTTATCAAACCTAGTATTAGAGCCCGTCGTTAAACGACGGGCTATATGGTAAGAAATAATCATCATATACAGTACAAATATGTTACCTGTTACATGAATACACACGAGCCGTTATATATAATCGCTAACAAAGGAAATAAGGCTTTAAGCTTTGTCATTTATTTTTGTCGATTAAAAATCTGATATGGTATATAACCACATAATTTTCTTTCAATAGTTAAAACGTATTATTTTTTAATCATTATTGCTTAACGTCTTGCATGTAAAATTAGAACTATTTTTACCAACTTCTAAAAGTAATTTAACTTTTTCTACGAATACTGTACAATAAGTTTTTGAATCTAAATATCTTCAATTAACGCGTAGTAACCTTTATGAAAAATGATCCATGTTTCATAATTAGTCTTGGTATAGGATAGACTTTCAGTTTAGAACCGAATAAATATTAAAATATTGATAAATATCGTGCTTAACCTAGTCGAACTATATCTTGGTTAAAAGAAAGTTCATTAGGCGAAAGAGGATATAGTATTAAGTGAATAAGTTAACACATATATACAGTGATAACGTTCAAAGAACCATAACATTAAGTTATTTTGGCCCTTAATTGTAATAATTTCAAATTTTGGTCCTTACATGTAATTATTTTCACTTTGGTCTCTTGTAATAATTTCATTTTTGGGCCCTTATATCTAAATTCCCCTAATATTATGTTTGATATTTAATTCGTGATCTGCTTGGGAACTAGTAACTACACATAGTAAACTGCGGGGATATATTATGTACTATGTAATTTTTGCTTTTTTTGACACTAAAATTTTAGGATCTCGTAACAAAAACAAACAGCGAAAACAAAATTGGTTATCACCGGACATTTGAGATACTCCACTCTAAATATTTTGATACGTAAGAAGGGATTGATTTTTACTTGACATAAAGGTACCCGGTTTTGAGATATCAACATACCCGTTACAAAAAAATGTATTAAAATACACTTTTTTTTTCATAACGTAAATACGTAATGATTTTTGTAGTTACTTTATTGAACTTTCGTATATTACTGCGTACATATTTTTACAGAGTACTTCATTTTTCGTAATGATTTTTTTTTACTAATTGGAGGTTAATAGAAAAACTATATAAAGGCTAATAAAGGCAGATCTCTTTTTGACATTCTTCAGTAGCCTTTTCTTTCCATAATTGTATTGTACCTTTTATCGCTTATTACATTTGTAATAAAATCTAATTTATCAATGCTTACGATCCGTATTAACCCATCGTAAGATTATGTATATTGTCGAATCTGGCGCAGTGATTGTCCTATTCAACGATTTTTCGGACACACCAGGATTTGAACTTTTCTACCATACGCTAAATAAAATGACTTCTCTTGGGTAGAGGCTTGTTTTGCTGTTCGATTTGCAAGCAGAATCGGTGAGATTAATAAATCCCAATTTGTTACAACATGCACATAATAGAAATTGCCTTTTCATAATATTATAACTCAATTTTTTTATTTTCAAAAAGTTAGAAAATATTGAATCTTATAAATAAACCAAAATATTTAGATATACATTTTTCTAGCACAACAATGAAGGTTTACATATTAGATTATAATTTAAATGGAATGATTTTAGTAATATAAAAGATGAGCTCCTGTCATTATGACGAATTTATATCTTACAAACATGGCAAAGAATAAAGTGAAAAAACTTGGGATTTTGTTTTTAGATCCTCAGCGTACCAAATTCAACCAGTCTTCGAATCGTTTTTGTTTTTCATATTACCCTTATAGCCAAAAATTTATGAATTTCTTGAACTATTATTGTTAAATAATTTTATTGGTATATAACCTCAAAAACATTAATCAATAGTTTAGTTGAAGATAAATCTGCATTTTTTATATATGGGAAATTATAGGCATCTCCTGCGGGATATATATCTCCAAAAATACCTTAAAGTTTATTTATGTTAGGATAGCGCTTAGTTTAGGGTTAGGAATAAATGAAATATATGTAAATTTGCCCAAAGAAAACTTTTGTTAGTGTATGAAAGGAGGTTTCTTATGCGTTTTTTTGCGAAATAGATGGTTTTTCTTCGAACTAACATTTGTTTTGAAAGCTTCTGATTGTGATACATTACACTAAATTGTGGCTCGCTATTCGAAATGATCATCAGTGTTACTTTATTTAATTTTCGCACATACTTTAGTATTGTTAACATTATTTATTGCCTCATTTTTGCATAAAAATTTTCTTATTCAAGCTGAATCTAATAGCATAACTATAAATATGGTTGTTCATTGTAAATAGAGGTAGATTTTTCTTTTGCTTAATCGAAAAATAAAAAATACCTTTTGCTCTATTGTTACTTATTCGCTATTAATAAATATTTAATGCTTACGACCAGCAACTAAATTGGCATTACGATTGGAAAGTCTCTTCCTTCATATATACAGTCAAACCTGTCTAAATGAATATGGTCGGTGGACCAATTTTGTATTCATTTAGACAGGATATTCATTTAC